ATCTAGGTACAGGAAGTACTTAATGTGCAACACTCTGAGTAATGTGCAACACTATGAGTAATGTGCAACTATGAGTAATGTGCAATACTCTGATTAATGTGCAATACTTTGATTAATGTGCAACACTCTGGTTAATGTGCAATACTCTGATTAATGTGCAACACTGAGTAATGTGCAATACTCTGATTAATGTGCAATACTTTGATTAATGAGCAATACTTTGATTAATGTGCAATACTATGGTTAACGTGCAACACTGAGTTATGTGCAATACTCTGATTAATGTGCAATACTCTGGTTAATGTGCAACACTCTGAGTAATGTGCAATACTTTGATTATGATGATTAATGTGCAATACTCTGGTTGAACACTTTAATGTGCAATACTTTTTTGATTAATGTGCAATACTTTGATTAATGTGCAATACTCTGGTTAATGTGCAATATTCTGGTTAATGTGCAATACTTTGATTAATGTGCAACACTGGTTAATGTGCAATACTATGGTTAACGTGCAACACTGAGTAATGTGCAATACTCTGATTAATGTGCAATACTTTGATTAATGAGCAATACTTTGATTAATGTGCAATACTCTGGTTAATGTGCAATATTCTGGTTAATGTGCAATACTCTGATTAATGTGCAACACTCTGGTCAATGTGCAATACTCTGGTTAAGGTGCAATATTGTGATTAATGTGCAACACTGGTTATTGTGCAATACTCTGGTTAATGTGCAATACTCTGATTAATGTGCAATACTTTGATTAATGTGCAATACTCTGGTTAATGTGCAATACTTTGATTAATGTGCAGTACTCTGGTTAACGTGCAACACTGAGTAATGTGCAATACTCTGATTAATGTGCAATACTTTGATTAATGTGCAACACTCTGGTTAATGTGCAACACTGGTTAATGTGCAATACTATGGTTAACGTGCAACACTAAGTTATGTGCAATACTCTGATTAATGTGCAACACTGGTTAATGTGCAATACTATGGTTAACGTGCAACACTAAGTTATGTGCAATACTCTGATTAATGTGCAACACTCTGGTTAATGTGCAATATTCTGATTAATGTGCAATACTCTGGTTAATGTGCAATATTGTGATTAATGTGCAATACTCTGGTTAATGTGCAACACTGGTTAATGTGCAATACTATGGTTAACGTGCAACACTGAGTAATGTGCAACACTCTGGTTAATGTGCAATATTCTGATTAATGTGCAATACTCTGGTTAATGTGCAATACTCTGGTCAATGTGCAACACTCTGGTTAATGTGCAATATTCTGATTAATGTGCAATACTCTGGTTAATGTGCAATACTCTGATTAATGTGCAATACTTTGATTAATGAGCAATACTTTGATTAATGTGCAACACTCTGGTTAATGTGCAATATTCTGATTAATGTGCAACACTCTGGTTAATGTGCAACACTCTGGTTAATGTGCAACACTCTGATTAATGTGCAATACTCTGGTTAATGTGCAATATTCTGATTAATGTGCAATATTCTGATTAATGTGCAATGTGCAATACTTTGATTAATGTGCAACACTCTGGTTAATGTGCAACACTGATTAATGTGCAACACTCTGGTTAATGTGCAATACTCTGGTCAATGTGCAACACTCTGATTAATGTGCAACACTCTGGTTAATGTGCAACACTCTGATTAATGTGCAACACTCTAATTAACGTGCAATATTGTGATTAATGTGCAATACTCTGATTAATGTGCAACACTCTAATTAACATGCAATATTGTGATTAATGTGCATTACTCTGATTAATGTGCAACACTCTGGTTAATGTGCAATATTCTGATTAATGTGCAATACTCTGGTTAATGTGCAATACTCTGATTAATGTGCAATACTTTGATTAATGAGCAATACTTTGATTAATGTGCAACACTCTGGTTAATGTGCAATATTCTGGTTAATGTGCAACACTCTGATTAATGTGCAATACTTTGATTAATGAGCAATCTTTTGATTAATGTGCAACACTCTGGTTAATGTGCAATATTCTGATTAATGTGCAATACTCTGGTTAATGTGCAATACTCTGATTAATGTGCAATACTTTGATTAATGAGCAATACTTTGATTAATGTGCAACACTCTGGTTAATGTGCAATATTCTGATTAATGTGCAACACTCTGGTTAATGTGCAACACTCTGGTTAATGTGCAACACTCTGATTAATGTGCAATACTCTGGTTAATGTGCAATATTCTGATTAATGTGCAATATTCTGATTAATGTGCAATGTGCAATACTTTGATTAATGTGCAACACTCTGGTTAATGTGCAACACTTATTAATGTGCAACACTCTGGTTAATGTGCAATACTCTGGTCAATGTGCAACACTCTGATTAATTTGTAACACTCTGGTTAATGTGCAACACTCTGATTAATCTGCAACACTCTATTTAACGTGCAATATTGTGATTAATGTGCAATACTCTGATTAATGTGCAACACTCTAATTAACATGCAATATTGTGATTAATGTGCAATACTCTGATTAATGTGCAACACTCTGGTTAATTAATATTTTCTGATTAATGTGCAATATTGGTTAATGTGCAATATTGTGATTAATGTGCAACACTCTAATTAACATGCAATATTGTGATTAATGTGCAATACTCTGATTAATGTGCAACACTCTGGTTAATGTGCAATATTGTGATTAATGTGCAATATTCTGATTAATGTGCAATACTCTGATTAATGTGCAATACTCTGGTTAATGTGCAATATTGTGATTAATGTGCAATACTCTGGTTAATGTGCAATATTGTGATTAATGTGCAACACTCTGGTTAATGTGCAATATTCTGGTTAATGTGCAATATTGTGATTAATGTGCAATACTTTGATTAATGTGCAATACTCTGGTTAATGTGCAATATTGTGATTATGTGCAATATTCTGATTAATGTGCAATACTCTGGTCAATGTGCAACACTCTGGTTAATGTGCAATACTCTGGTCAATGTGCAATATTCTGAATAATGTGAAATATTACATTAAATGTTAAACTGTATATTGTTCTGTTTTTCATTAACACACGTATTCATGGCTCCAGTTCTCAGCATTATTAGTATTTATTTATTACGGTATGTTATATAATACAATTCACATCTCTGTATGTTTTTTATGTTCTATATAGTTTAATATAATGCACAACACACAAATAACATTCTTCTTATTATTTCTGTTTATTATAATCTAGTCTTTCTTTAGCAACTTGATTCTGATTTTAATCAGCAGCTGGACCCCCCATAAATATTTCTCTACATCCGCCCCAGGTAATAGTATCAGTGTTATTATCAGTGTTATTATCGGTGCTATTATCAGTATTATTATCAGTGTTATTATCAGTATTATCAGTATTATTATCAGTATTATTATCAGTATTATTATCAGTGTTATTATCAGTATTATCAGTATTATTATCAGTATTATTATCAGTGTTATTATCGGTGTTATTATCAGTATTATTATCAGTATTATTATCAGTGTTATTTTAAGTATTATTATCAGTATTATTATTAGTGTTATTATCGGTGTTATTATCAGTATTATTATTAGTATTATTATCAGTGTTATTATAAGTGTTATTATCGGTATTATTATCGGTATTATTATCGGTGTTATTATCAGTATTATTATTAGTATTATTATCAGTGTTATTATAAGTGTTATTATCAGTATTATTATCAGTATTATTATTAGTGTTATTATCGGTGTTATTATCAGTATTATTATCAGTATTATTATCAGTATTATTATCAGTGTTATTATCAGTATTATCAATATTATTATCAGTATTATTATTAGTGTTATTATCAGTATTATTATCAGTGTTATTATCAGTGTTATTATCAGCGTTATTATCAGTATTATTATCAGTGTATTATAGTATTATCAGTGTTATTATCAGTATTATTATCAGTATTATTATCAGTATTATTATCAGTTTTTAGTGTTATTATCAGTATTATTATCAGTATTAATATTAGTGTTATTATCAGTATTATCAGTATTATTATCAGTATTATTATTAGTGTTATTATCAGTATTATTATCAGTGTTATTATCAGTATTATTATCAGTGTTATTATCAGTATTATTATCAGTGTTATTATCAGTATTATTATCAGTATTATTATCAGTATTATTATCAGTGTTATTATCAGTATTATTATCAGTATTATTATCAGTGTTATTATCAGTGTTATTATCAGTGTTATTATCAGTATTATTATCAGTGTTATTATCAGTATTATTATCAGTGTTATTATCAGTATTATTATCAGTGTTATTATCAGTGTTATTATCAGTGTTATTATCAGTATTATTATCAGTATTATTATCAGTATTATTATCAGTGTTATTATCAGTATTATTATCAGTGTTATTATCAGTATTATTATCAGTGTTATTATCAGTGTTATTATCAGTGTTATTATCAGTATTATTATCAGTGTTATTATCAGTGTTATTATCAGTGTTATTATCAGTATTATTATCAGTGTTATTATCAGTGTTATTATCAGTGTTATTATCAGTGTTATTATCAGTACATGTGGTCCTGTTTTACCTGACGGTTCTGAACTCACCTTCACTCTTCTGGCAGCTCAGACTGAGGCTGCAGGACCGACACCGTCACAGCTCTGTCCAACCATCTGATTGGACAGCGCACACTCTCTCTCTCTCACACACACACACACGCACACACGCACACACACGTACACACACACACACACACACACACACACTCTCTCACTCTCACACACACGCGCACACACACACACACACACACACACACACACACACACACACTCTCTCTCACTCTCACACACACACGCACACTCTCACACGCACACGCACACGCACACACACACACACACACACACACACACACCTGTCTGTCTGTGTGTGTCGGCTGCTGCCGGAGGTTTCTCTCTCCGTCAGTCCGCTCTGAGGCTCTCGCTGATCGGCTGTGCATCTTTTCTCCTCCGCGGATCCGGATTCTTTCAGGATCAGTTCTCGGTGTGTTTGCTGCTCGCGCACAGTCCGACGCAGCACGTGCGACCTGAACGCGGAGACCTGCGGGATTTTCCACCGGTGTTCATGTCTCAGCTGTGATACAGGTAAGCAGACATCCACATGCACTGGGGCAGGTAGCCGGGGGCAGGTAGTCGGGGGCAGGTAGCGGTGTTTGTTATTTGGAGGGTTTTTTGAATGGAGTCTGGCGGGAGCGACAGGTGAACGGTCTCAACAGGTGGATTTCTTCCTTCTTTATTGATCATTTAATTATTACTTTATTGATCATTCGATATTAGTAGATAAAAAACGTAACTTACAGCAGATTTTATGAGATAATTCATATTCATTTCTGTCATTAACTCTAATATTATATTATAAATATTATGTTTTTGAATCCGTCCTGATACATTCACTGTTTTATGTAAAATTGAACATGTAAAATATATGATATAATATGATATGATATATTTATATTGTAATATAAATAAGTCATATTATATTATAATATGATTTATATATTATAATATAATGATATTGCTTTAAAGTAGAGCTGGCGACCCATGTACTGAGTCCTTACTGCAGCGGCCGGGTTGGAATCCGACCTGTGGCCCTTTGCTGTGTGTCATCCCCTGTCTCTCTGCCCCCTTTGCTGTCTGTCTTCAGCTGTCTCTATCATAAAGGCAATAAAAGCCCCAAAAATTCTTTAAACAAACAATCTTCTGATCAGTTTCTGGCTTCATTTAACAACTTCAGGTTAGCCACGCCCCTTTCTGGTGTATGCCCCGCCCACTGTGTACAGATACAAATGCAGATCATTTAGCTGGTTGAACAGGTACAGGTGTACAACCTGGGACCTGCTAGCTTTAGCCTCAGTCCGTTAGCATGATATGTGTGTACCTCCTCTGGTTGGTCCACATACTTTTGGCCAACTCTTTTATGTCACCGTACCTTAAAATGTGTGTTGATCATCACCATATCAACACTCCCTGCCTCCCCCTCACTCACACACAAACTCTCTCTGTCTCTCTGTAGGGAATCCTCCTCCTCCTCCTCCTCCTCCTCCTCCTCCTGCTCCAGGACTTGGCCCTTGGCCCTGACACTGTTTACGTTTCCATGGAAACCCTGGCCTCTGCTTTTTGGGCCCGTGACCCCTGTGACCTCAGCGACCTCGGGGAGAAGCCGTCCTCTGTGTGGGGTGAGTGTTCAGACTACTGCAGTATAAAAGTAATCAGTAACAAGTAAAAGTCCTGAATTCAATATCATGATAACACAAAAACTACAGACAGAACGTTAACAATGATCCATATCAGCAGTTTGAATCCAACTAAAAGCTCCCTGCACCAAATTCCCTTTAAGAAATATCACATTTTAACAATTCCTAACGTGTTCGTAACAACACGTAACTCTAGAAACACGAGCTAAAGGCCGTCATATGTCCACAGTCTGACTGTCAATACAGGATCAATATCATCCATAAAGATACAGTGTATACTGATCAATATCATCCATAAAGATACAGTGTATACTTAAAAAAAATTAAAAAAAAAAAATTTAATCATCCATAAAGATACAGTGTATACTGATCAATATCATCCATAAAGATACAGTGTATACTGATCAATAATCTATAAAGATACAGTGTATACTGATCAATATCATCCATAAAGATACAGTGTACACTGATCAATATCATCCATAAAGATACAGTGTATACTGATCAATATCATCCATAAAGATACAGTGTATACTGATCAATATCATCCATAAAGATACAGTGTATACTGATCAATATCATCCATAAAGATACAGTGTATACTGATCAATATCATCCATAAAGATACAGTGTATACTGATCAATATCATCCATAAAGATACAGTGTATACTGATCAATATCATCCATAAAGATACAGTGTACACTGATCAATATCATCCATACAGATACAGTGTGTACTGATCAATATCATCCATAAAGATACAGTGTATACTGATCAATATCATCCATAAAGATACAGTGTATACTGATCAATATCATCCATAAAGATACAGTGTATACTGATCAATATCATCCATAAAGATACAGTGTATACTGATCAATATCATCCATACAGATACAGTGTATACTGATCAATATCATCCATAAAGATACGTGTATACTGATCAATATCATCCATAAAGATACAGTGTCACTGATCAATATCATCCATACAGATACAGTGTGTACTGATCAATATCATCCATAAAGATACAGTGTATACTGATCAATATCATCCATAAAGATACAGTGTATACTGATCAATATCATCCATAAAGATACAGTGTATACTGATCAATATCATCCATAAAGATACAGTGTATACTGATCAATATCATCCATAAAGATACAGTGTATACTGATCAATAATCTATATAGATACAGTGTATACTGATCAATAATCCATAAAGATACAGTGTACACTGATCAATAATCTATAAAGATACAGTGTACACTGATCAATATCCAGTGTAACTCTCTTTCTACTTTTCTTTAAATGCCACATTCAGCAGAATTGGACTCATTAATCAAACAGGAGAGTTTCTGCCTCTATGAATTCTGGGTAACTGAACAGTTTCCACATGAGCGATCAGAAACATCCGGAGACCTTTTTTATTAAGATTCATCTTTTCATTTCCTCCACGTCTCTGAGCTCAGAGCGTCCAATTCATCACGCCGCTCTGACATTAAATAACAATCTGACGGAGCAGGAAGTCACAGACTGTAATTCCTCTGATGGCCCCTAGAGGGCGTCGCCACCAAAACACAGTGAAACAGAAGTTTCCTTTAATTCAATTCAATTCAATTCAATTCAATTCAATTTTATTTGTATAGCGCCAATTCATAACAGAAGTTATCTCAGGACACTTTTCAAATAGAGCAGGTCTAGACCGAACTCTTTAACATTTAAACACTAAAAGTAAAACTTAATGCTGGCAAACACCTTTTACTCTGTATTAAAATGCTGTGCTCAGATTATGAAAAATATTTAGGGATCCAAAGTATTTAAAGAATATTTTAACCTCACAATAAATAAATAAGTGATTTTATATTCTGTATTTTTTATTTTTTTATTTTAAACAAATAAAAAAATGTATTAAAAAATGTTGGCAGGTCGAACCTTAACGTGGTCCTTCTGTGTCTCAGCCTCTTATTCTGATGTTTTTAGTTCTGGCTTTGGATGTTGCAGTGCAAACAGGTCATATCTAGTGTATCTTATTTAGATGAAGCCAAAAAAGACAGAAGTAAATGCTGTAGATACAGGGCATAGGTCAGTGCTTTAGATTCTGGGCAAAAGGCAAACTGTTTTCGCTTCTTTTGGCACATATTTCATCTCATCTTCGCCAAAATTGGTGCATAGCATGTTTAGATGAAGCCAAGCAAGACTTACAGGTTCATGTTTGAGTATCACTCATCGTTACCGAACTTCCAAAAGCTCAATGTCCTTAACAGGACAGAAATCTTCAGTTCTGCCGACAACAGCTCCACCATGTGGCCGTTAATAAAACCCTGACGTAATATACAGTTAGCGCTGATTTTGGTGTTTTCAGACATGAATCACAAACACTACCACTGGGACTCTTTCAGAAGCAGTCAAACATTAAGTATTGTGGTTGTCATCAGCTGATCCCTCCTCCTTTAAGTCAGCATTCATATATGTAATCAGATTACATTTTAATAGTAACCCTGTCCGTCTCTCTTTCTGTCTGTCTGTCCGTCTCTCTTTCTGTCTGTCTGCCTGTCTGTCTGTCAGACTCTCAGTGTGTTTTCAACAGTTCTCCACCTGCTGGTCTGATGTGGACCGAGCAGCTCTCTCCTCACCTGCAGAGGAACAAACAGGTACGTGGCTCAGGTTCAGCGTAACTTTGCATCAAGTAGGAAAATCAGGGCTGAGTTGTTTTTCCGACTAACAGATAAAGAAATGTTATCTGTTTTTATCTGATGTGCTCATAAATTAAAATCAGGAACTTCTTTCCACACATTTTTGGATGATGCAGATTTTTACAGATATAAGCCACGCTCATTGATCGTGACTCGATGTACCAGAATTCTGACTACTGACAATAGCTCCACCTTGTGGCCGTTAATAAAATCAAATCTCTCAAACACAGTGGTCAGTTACGACCTATTTGGGGTATTTTCAGATGTGAATCACAACCAAATCTTGCTGGCAATCGCACGTATTTTTTTCAGGAAATTCAAATATTCTAGTTGGTTTTGCTATTTATTTTGTTATGTCTGATAGCGCCGCTGTGAATTGGTCCTAAAGTGGGGGACTTCTATCTGACTTTCTCTGTTTTTAATCTTCTTCCAGCTCCAGGACACTCTGCTGCAGAGAGAGGAGGAACTGGCCCGGCTGCAGGAGGAGAACAACAAACTTAGAGAGTTCCTCAACTCCTCCTTTGTGAGGAACCTGGAGAAAAAGGCAAAGGTCTGGTCGCCATCGTAACGCACGAGAATCAGTAGATCGAGTTCCCAATAATACTTCCTGAACACTCACGTCTTTCCACCAGATAAACCTAATGACACTGATGAGCAGGCACTGCCTCTGCCGGGAAAGGTCCTCTGAGACAAGATTATTAATAATTTTAAACATCAGGCATCAGAATAGAATAAGAAGTGATGGCAATCGCTTGGCTTCTTATCTGGTACTTTTAGGGTCTGTTTATAGAGTGAGTCCACAGGCTTAAGTGCAGTCCCACCTACCTATGACCAGGTTGATATGCAGTGAGACAGATGGGTCAGGTGTTTGTCGAAACCAGAAAGGTGTTATTCTAAAGGTCTTGCTCTGTCCTTGTTTGCCTCTCACAGAATCTAACCGCTGATGGGAGGAGGAAGCTGAAGAGAAACCTGATGTTCGCAGACGACGGACCTTTCCAGAGCTGCAGTCATCAACTCCTGACCTCCCAGCAGGTCAGCAAGAGAGTCTGCAGGAACCTCACTGCCGAGTTCTGCTCCGAGTCCTCTGAGACATCTCCCTCCTCAGAACCAAACCTGGACCTGTGGGTTCTACGAACATTGGGACTGAAGGACAGAGACACCATCGATACGTCGTCCTCCTCCTCCTCTTCACCTGGATACAGTCTCAGCAGTTTAGTTTATGATGCCGCAGTCAGCTCTTCCTCGTCCTCTGAATACTCTCTCAACTCCTCTTTTGGCCCTTCGGACACCACTTCTACGCCATCCTCTGTGCACAGCTACCGCCAAAGATTGACACATCAGACTGAGTATGGGTACACTGCTGCCAAACACCAAGAAGATAATTTTGCTAATCCTGCCAAGTCGCCTCAGAACTGCACAACTTCTCCAGGTCAACAAGTAGCTGGACCGTGTGAAGGTCCTGAAGCTGTGATCAGGAGCTACAACATACTAACTGCCTTCCAGTCGCCACCAGAAGAACTGCCATTCACCCCGTCACAAGACAGATCAGAGATTTGCTCCTTCGTAGCCTCGAGTCGAGTGCAAACTCCAGTTAAACATCCTGCCTACTGGTCTCCACTGAGAGTCACCCGGACCCCATCACAGGACAAAATCCACTTCAGTCCAGCAGGAGAAAGACTCCCTTTCTCTCCCATCTTGTCATCAACTCCCGTCATGAACCAGCAATGCCCAATAAGTCCAGCAGCGGGATCTCAGCCTCCTGCCACGCCTCAGACACCTCGCTGCCGGACAGATTTGGCATTCAGTATGTCCCTCAGCCCGTCCAGCAGCGTCAAGACCCACAGCTTCCCCCAGGGACAAGCCTTTGTCAGAAAGGACACAGAGGGAAGGTGGAACTTCACCTGGGTGCCAAGACAAGGACCATAAGTCCTTGCTGACCTCAAAAGGACCTCAGAAAAGATTTCCAATTTGGTGTTGTTAACTGAGAAGTGTTCTTTGGCCAAACTTTTAGGACTACAAGTCCACACTGAACTTGTTGCTGACTTCTTAGACTTCGTTCTGGGTTCTTGGTGCTGATTTTACAAGACAATGCAAGTCCTTAAAAGACCCTCAGTCCATACAGACAGTTATCAAAGACCTCGACAAGATCGAGTGCGGTGGAAATTATTTCTCCTCCGATAATTTGCCTTTTGTTTGTTCTTAACCCTAAAATCAATGAGATGCTCATTCAGACGTTAAAATAGCTGTGTTGGATTTTGTGAGTTTTTTGGGAGAATTTCTGGGGCCTAAAACACGGCAGCTTTTCTAAAAATGAATGCATGTCGCAATGTTTTTAAACATTCGTTAAAAGTCGAAGGCAACTTGTTCCAGGAGAATGAAATCGAACTGTTTGGAGGATAAATGTGTGGAGATGCAGCGATACCAGTATCAGGCACCTGATGCCTCCCTGGTAGCAGGAGATGTTTTAAACAACTTTTACAACAACATTTAATTTGTTACAGTCAGAAAGATGATGAACATCTGATTAAAATTAAACATTTAAAGTACTTATATTGATGCATCTTCACAACAAGAAACCAGTATGTGAGTTTTGGCTCTACGTCTTGCACAGAAAGGATGCAGAGATTGGACAAAGTTGCGCAGAATTCACAGCGATTGGTTCAATTTGTGTTAATTGTTTGTTGATTGTAACTTCCTGGATGAGCTGTTTTAGGATGTGTGAACTGTGGGAGTTATGGATCATTGTAGGTTTGTAGCTAATTAAAGCCAACTGACAGTGAGTGTAACATTGAACATTAACACGACTGCCTAAAATTGTTGTTCATATGCTGAGGTTTTTGGTTTTTTATTTAGTTTGTGAAACTGCCACATAAAATATCAGTAATGCCCCGTGTGCCGCTTTGTGTCCCTTACTATATTTATAAAGTACAAACTGGTGCCACCAGAAAGCGATAACTGCCTCACGATATCAGACAATGAATGCACTGGTATTAGCATATAGCTACCGGAGGGGCCTGTGCCCCGTCAGCATCAGATGCTGTATTCGGTCTTGTTGTGCTGTTTACTGGGAGCTTCCAGTCCACAAATGTAACACACATTCAGCACTATAAGACACTGCGACAAGTCCCTCGTCTCTGCTTCCTGTTTCATGTGGACTTTAAAAGAAGCTAAAAATGAGAAAAAGACAAACAATGTGATTTTAAAGCTGCCACCAATCGGTTGGGTGGATATTTGTCACTGCCGTTGTTCCTAACCCTGTTTTTAAAACACCTGCTAATTGCTACAGATTAGTACAAATGAGTTTTTAAATATTTACACTAATAATAATCAAACATATGATTGGATACTAACAGTAGCATTCTAGCTAGTAGCATGTTAGTGATCTAGCTAGCTTGCTAACTAAACACAAAGCACTTTTAACACCATTTAATCATTTTGTTTGTGAGGAATTCACATTTTAGCACCTAATTAAAGATTTCTCATCCTGTGAGTGTTTCAGAAACACCAACCTCTGTTTCCAGCTTCATGACGATAATCCAAAAGGCTTTTTAAGCATTTATGTAAAACAAAGGAGAATTTTCTCAACCCATATTCGGCTAATTCAACATTGAAATGTGAATAATATATATTTTTACACAAATTCTTGTCAACAACTTTTTATTCTAATTTTCCACAACTTTTAATAACAACACATAAAGTTGTACCAGGGAATTAACACAGCAGAGTAAACTCATAACTTAATGTTTTTAAAATCTATATTATTTAAACCAAAGTAGGTTTCACTATGAAAGATATTGTTTGTTCTACATGTTTCACATCCGTCATTTGTCATTAATTTCACATAAAGAAAATTAACATTATACATGAATGAATGAATTGAGCATGTGCTTTATTTTAATTGTAAATTATTTGTAAAATTGTTGTTTTCAGTTCCGATGTTAAGCTCACACATTCCTACATGTGAACGCTCCTTTGTTATTAATATGAGAATTTCAGGGTATTTTTTGTTGCCATAAATGCTGGTGTAACAGGGCTCACAAATAATGTAGTATAAATATTTAATTCATACTAACCCAGCAGCTGGTTGTGTTCACTGACGGTTGTTGTAACGTCTTTATATTAACGTGTACAGAATGTAAACTAACAGGAAAAAACTGATTCACAGCCTGAGTCTCTGATTATTTCACAACCTCACATTTAATAACATATAAATATATAATAAACATATATATATATATATAAGTATATTAAGTTTACAACTACTGATCTCATTTGTGACTGTTGCCTAAATTATGTTCAGTTGCAACATCTCTTTGAGTGAGAGAAGCTTTACATTCTTGGTCAGAGGTCACATGATCAAAAAGAGCTCAACAGTTCTAAATAGAGAATTTATTAATCATTGTTAACCTTTTGTCTCCACTACAGAAACACTAGCTAACTGCTAAAATCTGATAGGTTGTCTGAGGGTATTAGTTTGATTAATGCTTTAATAATGGGAGTATTGATTACTGATCAGGATCATTTTCAGATAATTGTACTCTTTCGATTCAGGGCCAACTAAGTAAAACCAGACTTGTTAAAGTTTTCTCTCTGTGCTGACAGCCTCTTCACTCTTTAGCTCAGTTACCAGTTCAACCAGTCTGACCATCCCTCCCTTCTCGGGAACAAAAGCGGCTCCCTGGAGATGGCCCACCCCCACATCCGATCCGCCCCCAAAGGTAACGATGGTGGGGTTTCTGCTCCCCGGGGGCTCCCAATACAGGGTCCCAGGTCCCTCGAGGGCGAGCCGGGGGGCCGAGGGAAAGTTGGGAGCGAGATGTGTCCGTGGCAGAGCCGACCGAGTGGTCTATCTCTAATGACAAGGTAAGACTGGCTGCAGATGTCCGACAGATTGGAGGCTCTTTCAGGACAGGGAGGGCCCCGAGTCTGGCAGGAATGTGAAAGGAGGGCCGCTCCGGATCACAGGCTCTGAGTGTCGGCCAGGGAAAGGGGTCATTAAAGAGGCCGGCCGGCTGAAACTCAATCCGCCCCGGCTGATCGGGGGAACGGCCTCACCGCCACGTTCTCGCAGGGGCCGACAGCTTGGCTCGCCTCAAAACACGTCAGCTAATGAGTCGACACGTCTCGCACAGGTGAGCCGGTTCTCAGAGAGTCTCCAACTCGTTTCAGCTTTTTCCTCGACAGTTTCCTGAAGGAAGCCAGAGCTCAGGTTTCAGACTCGACTGCACAGAGAGGAGAGAGAGAGAGAGAGAGAGAGAGAGGGGATTACACAACCTGCAGCTCAACGCAGCGGCACTTCGGTAGGACACTGCAGATCCATTTAAAAAAGTCCATCAGGAAACATAAACATAAATCACCTCGGTACCGCTGTCTCGGAGGTTGTGTTCACTGGGAGGCTGCTGAGCCCCGTTCAGTTGCTAACGCTAACGGAAGATAGATTAGCAGTTAGCAGCATTAGCAATATTCTCTCCATAAAATAAGATCCAGTTTAAATCACTGATAAAGTTGTGTTTTATGTTACAATCGACTATTATGGATGATTTTTAAACAGTTTGTTTATATGAATGAAACTAAAAAGATTCAGTATTTTACAGGAATTAACACTAATCAAGAGGAAAACAGACGACAGGCCAAATCTCCAAAGCTGCTGGTTTGTTTAAAGGTGATATAAATATTCACTCTGCCACTAGAGGTCGCACTAGAGTCAGCATCACTCTGGCCCACCAGACTCCATTCAAAAAACCACCATTTTAATATCAATTTTTCAGGTAGTCACTCTTCAGTACTTGACCCGAGACCAGACTCTCAGAGGTCAGACTGAACACCAGCAGAGGTCTGCAGGGGTCAGAGGTCAGAGCCAGCAGCACAGTGGGAGGTGGGCGGAGCCAGCAGCTGTCAGTCAGGTGGAGGTGTAACATTGACAGACACTCAGACCACAACAAGCTCCCAGAGAGCAAATTAACCTGACATTAAGTGTCACCACCCGAAACCCCGCCCCCATGATGTCACCCCGACTGCCAGAGAGGTATCCCACAATCCCTCACTGCTGGTTCACCTCGCACTCTTTTAACAGGATTACCCAGAGTTCAGTTTGTTAAACACACTTCCTGGAACAGAAAGTTTCACATTTAAACTCAAATTTCACAATAAAAGCCTCACATGCAACTAAAAGTAGACCCTGAGAACTCTCCACAGACACCCAGCTGCTGCCCGTCCTACAGCTGGTGGTAGACAACAAAGTGTAACAGCCAACTGAAGTTATTGATGAGTCCTGACAGATACAGCGACCGTATTAACTGTGTGTGTTACTGTAAACTACCTTTAAGTACCACAGAAGAAGAAACCAGGAGGGTTTATCTCCACTTCCTGTTACTCTCTGCTGTTTCCAAGGTTCATTATTTTAGAAGGTCAGCTCAGTTTATGGGAATTATTAAGGTTCCAATCCCCTCTGCTCCACACTGTCACACCAAACTCCATTCAAAAAACGGCTGTTTTAAGGAAGTAAACCCTTTATTTCCACCATCAGTGAGACTCTGATTGTGTGTGTGTGTGTGTGTGTGTGTGTGTGTGTGTGTGTGTGGACCTTATTGATCGCTCTCTGACAGTAATTAGCTGATTGATGAGGGACACACACAGATTACAGATTGACGGAGTGGTTCTGGGTAACGACCTTTGACCTCTGTATGGAGAGCTCAGTGAGGGAGAACATCAGCGGCAGAGCGGTGGAGGATGAGGAGGAGCAGTGCATTATGGGATCCTGAGATCATCAAGAGCTTTTAATCTCAAACTGGAGGACATTTAAACTCTTTTATACACATTAACAGGACTTTATTGTATCTGTCACACACACACACACACACACACACACACACACACACACACACACACACACACACACAGACACACACACACACACACACACACACAGACACACAGACACACACACACAGACACACAGACAGACAGACACACTGAGGAATCTGTGTGTTAATGGTTAATGAGTCTTTATGGAGTTTGTGTGTGATGATCAGTAACTGCATACCAACATACTAACTGCTGCTCAACAATTAACCCACACACACACACACACACACACACACACACACACACACACTCAGCTTCCTCACTGGTTCCCAACCTGAGGGTCGGGACCCCCACTACAGGTCGCCAAAGCTTCACAGAGGGTCAGAATTATTATATAATATTAATATAAAATAATATTGTTAAAAATCTAAATATGAGGAAAACTCATCTGATCAATAATCAAACTTCAGTAAAGTTTATTGATGAGACTCGAGCTGCTGATTACGATCAATAAACAGGAAACAGCTCCTGTTGGACGCCAGTGAGTGGCGGGATTATTTCCTCCAGTGGATCGAGTAACGGCGGTCGCGTGCTCTAAGCGTGTGTGGAATGTAAGTCGACCAACGGAGACGACCTTTGGCACGCAGAGCGCACACTGGCAGCACGCCATGAACACACTCAGGTCCAAAACACACACACACACACACACACACACACACACACACACTAACAGTTATAATTAATAACCAGTCCAACAGGGAGCAGCAGCCTCAAACATCTGATATCAGCTCTGAGATTCACCATGGATCAGGCCCCGCCCCCTCCAAGGTCAAAACTCTGTCAGATTAAACCTGAATCAGTGTCTGTGTTGCAGAGTCCAACACAGAGTCCAACACAGAGTCCTCAACACAGAGTCCACAACACAGAGTCCACAACACAGAGTCCAACACAGAGTCCAACACAGAGTCCACAACACAGAGTCCAACACAGAGTCCAACACAGAGTCCAACACAGAGTCCACAACACAGAGTCCACAACACAGAGTCCACAACACAGAGTCAACACAGAGTCCAACACAGAGTCCACAACACAGAGTCCACAACACAGAGTCCAACACAGAGTCCAACACAGAGTCCACAACACAGAGTCCACAACACAGAGTCCACAACACAGAGTCCTCAACACAGAGTCCACAACACAGAGTCCAACACAGAGTCCTCAACACAGAGTCCACAACACAGAGTCCAACACAGAGTCCACAACACAGAGTCCAACACAGGTCAACACAGAGTCCACAACACAGAGTCCACAACACAGAGTCCAACACAGAGTCCACAACACAGAGTCCTCAACACAGAGTCCACAACACAGAGTCCAACACAGAGTCCAACACAGAGTCCAACATAGAGTCCAACACGAGTCCAACACAGAGTCTCAACACAGAGTCCAACACAGAGTCTAACACAGAGTCTACAACACAGAGTCCAACACAGAGTCCAACACAGAGTCTCAACACAGAGTCCACGAATTCAACACAGAGTCTCAACACAGAGTCTCAACACAGAGTCTCAACACAGAGTCTCAACACAGAGTCTCAACACAGAGTCCTCAACACAGAGTCTAACACAGAGTCAACACAGAGTCTCAACACAGAGTCTTCAACACAGAGTCTACAACACAGAGTCCAACACAGAGTCCTCAACACAGAGTCCAACACAGAGTCCTCAACACAGAGTCCACAACACAGAGTCCACAACACAGAGTCCACAACACAGAGTCCAACACAGAGTCCAACACAGAGTCCACAACACAGAGTCCAACACAGAGTCCAACACAGAGTCCAACACAGAGTCACAACACAGAGTCCACAACACAGAGTCCAACACAGAGTCCACAACACAGAGTCCAACACAGAGTCCAACACAGAGTCCAACAACAGAGTCCAACAGTTAGCTCCATTGCTCACGTTATTGTTAGTAAAATGGTCGAGGAGCAGCCGGTGGCATTATGAACACGTGTAGATCACGTGATCAGCGAGGACTGCAGCTGCCAGAAAACTCCTCTGGACTAAACTTATAATGGATGAGTGGCTGTGGCGTCCTGGTTGGCAGCGGTTCCCGGTGGTGGTCCCCGGCGGCGCTGAGGTAATGACGGATGTTCCAGAGAGAGGACGCATTAATAAACGCTGATCAGCCCATTCTTCTTTAAAAGCAGCTCCATCAACGCAGCACAGAGACAGGTCACAGGAGGTCGCCATGATGACGATGTTCAACAACACTCATACAGCAAATTAATCCTTTTACTCTGATTACTTTGATTACTCTGATTACTCTCTGTGGCAGTGAGAGGAACTCTGTCCCAGATAAACGATGTAATAGACCTGATACACCTGGTTCACCTGTACCTGTGCTTCAGTCTCATTACTCTGATGGACTGTTGTTACCATCTCTCACAGGGAAACATTATATATATAATATAATATATATATATATCATACTTTAGTTACTTTATTCTTTCAGATTACATTTATGAATTATATAAGATAAATCCAACAGTTCACAAAACACAGGACATCTACCTCCACCACTGATTACTGTAACACACACACACTGTAACACACACACACACACACACACACACACACACACACACACTCACACACCTTCAATAAACTCTTATTGATCTTTTGTTGTTGCACACACACTCAAAGTGCTTTAATCAACTCTGCCATTTATTCCTATTGATCCACCACACACACACACACACACACACACACACACACACACACACACACAGATGATGGATGAATAATCACACTTTGCGTTTGTGTGGTTTTCGTCCTGTTTTTGTTTACGTTTGTTAAAATATGTATTATAATAATAATAATAACAATAACAATAACGTCCGGTTGTGGCGATACTGAACTTCATTATAACAGAAATAATATTAAACTCCATTAAATGTCTTCTAGCTTTAGATGTGTTTGTGCTGCTGATCCCACTGCGGATAATAAAGAGGAGAGGTGTTTTAGAGTGCGGCGGTCAGTGAGAGGAGCATTAGATTCAGGACTGAAACTGAGAATCAAACACCGGTTAGCTCAGTGGGTAGAGCTGGCGACCCACGTACCGAGGCTGAGTCCTTGCTGCAGCGGCCCAGAGTTCGAATCCTGTGGCCCCTTGCTGCGTGTCATCTCCGCTCTCTGCCTCCCTTTCCTGTCTATCTTCAGCTGTTCTATAATAAAGGAAATAAAAGCCCAAAAAAATACTTAAAGAAAGAAACTAAGAATCAAACTGGAGCTGCTGATTAATCAATTAACTGATAATCAACTGAAGTCACTTTTCATGTTAAATCATTTAATGGTTCCAGATATGCTTCTTTTCCTTTGAATGATTTTAATAATTTGCTGTATTTGTAATAATTTTAAGGTTTTGAATAACTTTTATTCAGTTCTGACTTATCTGGGTGTTTATATTAGTTGGCTAACGTTAGCTTATAAATGGAGTCTGCTAACTTTCCCACAACAACGACGACCGACAGCGACCGCAACACAAAGTCCAAAGTCAAAGCTAACATTACTGATGTAAAGTATTTGACCTTTGACCTCTGTGGCTCATTTCGTATATTTGTACTGGAAGATTAAACAACAACACTGCAGCAGTATTTTAGAGCTATTACACATATTTATAACTTTTCTTTTAAATGTTATTTAGTTATTTGCTGCATATTGAATGAGCAATAAAAACCTTTAAATATTGAATATGAAAGATCAGAAAATGAGAATAAACATTGTGTGATTAGTTATCAATAATAATAATAATAATAATCAATCTAGGTTTCTGTTAACAAATAAATAAAGTTGTGTGAAGTCTTTAAAGCAGTAAACAGGAAGCTGAGACGTCCTCAAACACAAACTGGTCTCAGATCAGCAGTCAAACACTGACACCTGCTGATTGACTCAGGTACTGATTCAGTTTCTGCTACCTGAAACCACCTGGTTGGATTTCAGAATAAAACTGAACTCTGAACCTGCTGCATCTGATGTGTTATGTTTTCAGCTTTCCGTCGTATTTTGACAATAATTTGATTCTCAGTCAGTGAACCAGGAGGTGAAATGTGGCACTGACACGGTATCACATAGTTTGGTGTGAAATTAGTTTGTAATAGAAATAATAATAAATAATAAAATTCACTTTCATGCAGAAAATTAATGAATGAATGAATTCAATTATACATTTAAGGTTTAGACTCTGTTGTTAGTACTGCTGATCCCACTGTGAATCAACAGTTAAACGTCCTCACAGCCAAGAAAAAGGAAGCAATAAATAAAAAAGAATAAAAGCATCTAAATCGTTCCAACTTCCCTTTTTTACACTTACTTCATCACCCACTTTAAGTTTCACTCCAGGTAAAAACAGATATCAGCATCAAACGTCCCCTGTGGATCGATCACATTAAGACAATTATTTCCTCAAACTGTTTGTTTAAATATGCAAATGAGGCCCCTGGAGTTTCAACTACTCGATGCCACTGAATCAGTTATTAATAATACGGCATTTAATCACATTTCACTTGTTGAGCTGCGATGGGTAAACATTTCTTCCATTATGTATCGAATTATCTGTGATTGAAGCTTTTCAGGACGATGTAGATGATTTTCAACCTGCAGAAGTGGAACAGAAACACGAGGAGAAAGAAAGAAGAAACTGAACCTGTAAAAAACAAAAACAGGAAAGTGAAGAATTGAAAGAAAAGAGAAATACATACTTTTTGAAATACAAAACATTATCTATTAAAAACAGGCCAGAAGCATCAGAGCGTTTCACATTGTCCACTGTGTTCGACTGATCATTGATTACTGATACAAAGCAGAGCCAGACCGAAGTTTAGTTGTTTTTTACTCACAGTTTAATGTTTTTGTTGTTCTGCTGAAACACGTTCAACAATAAATCCATGAAAGGAGGAGAAGGAAAAAGCTGCAGTCAATCAACTCTGTGTGGACTGGAAGGAAGTATGGAAGCACATTTCAGAATAATGGAACACTTTCAAAATAATGGCTTTGAGATACTACGTCAGTATTTTTATAATGACATTGGCAGAAATGGGCCTCCATATGGAAGTGACAAACTACGGAAGCCCATTATGGTCTTGGACTGAAACATGTTTTTAATGCCGTCTTTATTTATTAATTATTCTCTTGTGATTTATTTTTATTGAGAAAACAGAGTTTGTTTTCTTGAGATTACGACATTAAGCGGCTTCCATAGCCGGCTGAAACAGAGCTGTGTATGTTTTATTTCCATTAACGAGTATTAAACAACAAAATTATTATTATTATTGATTTCAAATACAAAAATTAAAATTGGAAAACAAGGTGTTTTTTTAGTTAAATAAAAAAAGATTGGACCATTACAAAATAAAATCACTAGAAATCGGAAATAAAAATGAAAGTATTTCTTTTAAATTTACAGACACTGTTTTACTGTTTTAAAACAAATCAAACAACCACTTGTTTGTTGTTTTAATGGCTGTTTCTGAAAATTAAATCGACCGAGCAAAAGATACACGACCCGACAGAACCTGATATTCAAACAATGAGATTTTAATCATATTGATTCGTCATCAACAACAAATATTTTGAGATATAAAATAAGGCATTTTCACAGTTTTATGAATATTGAATTACATATTTTCATTAAAGGAAGTCACTTTATCTTCATGCTCTCTTTACTGGAATCAGCTGATTTTATCTCTAAGGACAGAGGAGTGAAATGCTGCGTTCAGGTTCTGAAGGAGAGACGGCTTTCACACTGTCAGACAGCCGTCAGTTTTATGATATGATAATAATATAACACCAACATAATTTTTATACAGTCTAGTTTTTTATCTCCATGAACTGAGGCCCAGACAAACATCTGTTCAGTTAAAGTCTGTGAAGCAGCATTAGCATTAACAACCCTCGTGTGTGAAGGTATAAAAAGAGGTTTAATATAAAGTATAATTCAGTTTCCTGTTGTCCCATCTTTCCCAGGGTAACCTGAATGCAGCATTCCTCTGGTCTTCATCAGAGTCTCAGTTGGGTTTAAGGGGCGGAGTTAGTGTAAGCGGGGTCATATTGCTACATTCTGATTGGTTGGTTTATATGTACCACAAGCCCCTCCCCTTTTCCTGCTGACATCACTGTCACCTCAGAGGTCCCTGAACCAATCATCTGCTGCCGTTCCTCTCCGTCGCTGTTTGGCTTGTGGGCGGGGTCAGAGTCCGGGTCGGGTATGGGGTCAGGAGTTGAGGGAGGATCGTGGGTGGAGTCTGGAATGTGGGCGGGCTCTGTTTCTGGGACAGTCCTGTCATGTGACACCTGCTGCATCTCTACTGTTAGCTCCGCCCCCCTGTCCTCCACCTGACCAATGACGGTAGTGCACCCCGAGCAGCTCCTGCTGTGGCCCTCCGCCTTACTCACCCGGCCCCTCCCACTGGGCGGGGCCTGCCTGTCTCTGCCCTGATTGGCCCTCCTATTTCTGCGGCTCTGATTGGCTCTCTGGTTCTGGATCCGCTGCGCTCTCTGCAGCGCCATGGCGGCCAGGTCCGAGTGCGACGACGTGCTGTCAATTAACCTCCGGCCCATCGCGAGAGGACGCACGGGCAGCACCAGCCGCAACCGCAGCCAGAACCGGGAGCGACGCGGCTCGGATCGACTCCCTCGCCATGTCACGGTGGCGGTGGCGGCCTGGCGGAGCTGAGCGACCTCCACGCAGGGTAGTTTACTGACGGAGCGGTAGACGACGGAGACAGTGGAGGCCTGGCGGGCGTGTTGGAGGTACAGTCCCAGACGACACTCCAGGAGGCTGAAGCTCTTTTCTGCAAGGAAGTCGGGGCTGAGGACGAAGAGAAGGCGCCGGCTGCGCTGCATCGAGTGCAAGATGGCGTCTGATAGGTCTGACAGGACAAACAGGAAGAGACTTTACCAAGAACAACAACAACAACAGCTGAGGATCCACACTGCGAGCCGGACCCAGGACCGAATCTCAACCTGGCGGGAGATTAAACCCATTAAACTACGTTCAGATTCGGGCCACGTTCACCTGCAGTGTGAATTCAGCCAGTTGTAGTGGGTGTTGTTCCTCCATCTGCCACCAGAGGGCAGCACACTCACATCACAATGCTATCACAGTAATTAACTAACTAATGATCATTATTGTGAGTCTCTAACTGTGTGAATTATAACTTGCATGCTGGTGTGTATTTGTGCCACTGAATGAATGAATGAATGAATGAATGAATGATGGCGACGTGACGATGAAAAAAATCATTTATTCCCAAGAAACATATAAAATTACAAATACAAAGAGACAAAGTGCAGAATGCGTTCTCCCTTTACAACCAGTGTTAATAACCTCATACGACAGATTTACTGTTGATATACTGAAAGTTTAAAAGAGGAAACATAAAAAACAGAAAGTGCAAAATAATTACAACATTTTAAAGTTATCAGTGAGTTTCACTCTGTAAATATCGGACTAATACTGGATAGGTTGCAGTATTTGATATATATATATATATATATATATATATATATATATATATATATTATATATAAATATATATAAAGGCTGTTTATGAGAGTGTAAATCTCCCTCTACGCAGATGACACCCAACTTTATTACAGATGTTCACCGTCCCCTGAAATCTCACTGAGGCTGTGAAACAAACTAACAAAGTAAAGTTTTACTCTTTGATAACTTTCTCAGTACCGACCTCTCCTCGCCGTCTGACTCTCAAACAAACGGAGCTTCTCGGGGTCTTTGCACAGACGCCGAAGTTGAGTATCATCGTTTGATTATTATTACGTTATTATTGATAATCAGAGGACAAATAATACTGAAGACAGAAATGTTATTAATCTGAAAAGAGCAGTTTTACTATGAGCTAAGTTAGCATAGCCCCAATCAACCAAACTCCATTTAGAAAACGGGTACTTTAAAAGTTGTTAACTTGTCGTCACGCAAGTACCAATATTTGGGCAAAAAATTGCTTTGTGTTTACATTATCGTAAAATATTGAATATATATATATATATATATATATATATAAATAAAGGCACTGAGAGAAGTACTGTTTTGTAGTATTGAGTCAGGCACTGTACTGGTCCTGGTACTGACCCAGTCCTAGATAGAAACTAGTTTTTAGAGACTGTAACAAGAGGGAGCAGAGCCAGAGACCGAGATCTCTCCACCGCTCTCAGTTCGTCTAAAGTTCTGCAGAGACTGAACCGGTCCTGACTGACCGACTGTTTTTGTGCTACCCGGCAGAGTTGAAGACCTTGTGCGGGTGTTTGACGGTGTCGCTGATGAGCCCGGTTTGGGAGTTGGTGCTGTTCTGACTATGCAGCCTCATCAGGGCCACGTCCTTACCGCCTTCCTCCCCGCCGCTAACCCTCCTAACAGGTAACTCCACCCGCAGCCTCTTCCAGAAGCGGGACGTCAGCTCCTTGGACTTGTCCCCCTGCCACCGGACCAGCGCCAGGGCCACCCGCGCCCTCCTCAGCTCCCTGACCCAGCCCTGCCTCCGCACCGGCTTGTACTGGATCAGGATCACCCGCAGGTGCCCGCCCAGCGCCATGCCGTCGATGCCGGCTTTCAGCTCCAGCAGGGCCTGGGAGCCGTGAGAGGCGTAGCCCGGGCTAACGACCACCAGGAGGCGCCGGCTACGAGCCACAAAACTGAGAGTCTCATCTGTGATGGCTGCAGGGAGAGAGCGGGTTAATGAAGAGTTAATGAAGAGTTAATGAAGGGTTAATGAAGAGTTAATGAAAAGTTAATGAAGAGTTAATGAAGAGTTAATGAGAAGTTAACAAAGGGTTAATGAAGAGTTAATGAGAAGTTAACAAAGGGTTAATGAAGAGTTAATGAGAAGTTAATGAAGAGTTAATGAAGAGTTACTGAAGGGTTAATGAAGAGTTAATGAGAAGTTAATGAAGGGTTACTGAAGAGTTAATGAAGTGTTATTGAAGGGTTAATGAAGAGTTAATGAGAAGTTAATGAAGGGTTACTGAAGAGTTAATGAAGAGTTAATGAGAAGTTAATGAAGAGTTACTGAAGAGTTAATGAAGAGTTACTGAAGGGTTAATGAAGAGTTACTGAGAAGTTAATGAAGAGTTACTGAAGAGTTAATGAGAAGTTAATGAGAAGTTAATGAAGGGTTAATGAAGAGTTAATGAAGAGTTACTGAAGGGTTAATGAAGAGTTAATGAAGAGTTAATGAAGGGTTAATGAAGAGTTAATGAAGGGAATATGGTTGAGTGTGTTTCTGTCTGTAGAGGAGTAGTAATAGTAGTAATAGTAGTAATAGTAGTAATAGTAGTAATACTTAGCTTAAAATATTTAGCAGCAGCAGTGTTAGCATATTGCGGAGGTCAACACTGAGAGCTTTAGATTAACAGCAGCAGGTACTACAGGTAGTAATATTACTGTTCTAGCAGTGACATCATTAGCAGAAATAAGTGTAATTGTTCATGTACGACTATATTTTACTACAGAGTATGTACAGCGAGCACTGACGCAGCACTGACGCAGCACTGACGCAGTACTGACGCAGCACAGCGAGCACTGACGCAGCACTGACGCAGCACTGACGCAGTACTGACGCAGCACTGACGCAGCACAGCGAGTACTCACTCCCTCCCGGCAGACTGTCTCTGTCGAAGATACAGACGGAGTATCCGAGCTCGTTCTCCAGAACGCTGCGCAGCGTCGACAGCACAAACTGCTCCTCCTCGCTGTTCCTCGCGTACGAGATGTACACGTCGTACTCCTTATCATCTGAACACACACACACAGTTGGACCGATCAATCACAGATCAATCACCGATCAATCACCGATCAATCACCAATAATCATTAGCTAGCTAGTTACATTTGGCTAACGATTAATTTAGATTAGTTGGTTAGCTCGAGTTTTGCTACGGAGCAAAATTAGTTCTCAAAAAACTAGCTAGCTAATCTACATTAACTGTGTATGGATGAAACTTTATGGTGCGTTCATGGAAACTCCAAACAGGGAGGAAATATCATTACTTCCTTTTTTCTATTCCACAAAAAGATGCTAACATAGCATGGTATCATAACCTGGGAGCTGTTAGCTTTAGCCTCAGTTAGCTATAACAATAAAGATGCTACACTGAGCAGAGAGAAAGATCCTGTTATTGTTTTAACGCAGCTGAACCGACTCTCCAATCTCTGAGTTTCCCTGAAGGCAGCACAGATTTACCACCAGTGTAATGTTAACTTTTACAACCACTGTGCAGCCGAGCTTAAAAGCTTCGAGACGTTCACTGTCGTGTTTTTGGGGTCGAGTGAATAAATCTGGCGGCGCGAGTGTAATCAGTTACACGTTCCACTGACTCCAGGTTTAATAATCTAAATGTTCCGGCTGCAGCCAGACGGAGAAGATCGTCATTAAACCGAAGAAATTTAGTATCAGGACGTAAAACCTGAAGACAGCAAACACTTCGTTTTTCTCAATTACAGAAAAAGGTGCTAAATAACGGCGACCTTAATCCGACGGATGGCAGCCGGACGGCGCCGTGCACGCCGAGGAGGAACCGTTACCTGTGTGCCGCTCGTCGGTGCCGAACCAGGACCGGTAGAGCAGCAGCAGCTCCAACCAGAACACGTGATAGACCACGAACAGGAGCAGCATGAGGACCAGAGTCACACCGAGACCACAACCCAGCTCCACCGACGGCAGCGACACTGCAAACACAGGCTGTTAGCTTAGCATCAGTCTGCTAGCATGATATCACAACCTGGGACCTGTTAGCTTTGTCTTATAATGCTAATGTCGTCTGGCCGACAGGAAGCAGCGACTCTTCCTCACCTTCCTCTACCAGTTGAACTCTTCGGGTCTCGAACCCTCTCTCGTTCTTCACGGAGCAGTTAAACTCTCTCTTCAGGTCTTCAGCCTGGAAGTCCTGGATCACCAGCACGCTCTCCTCCGTTCGGTCCCCGAAGTCGTCCTTCACCTTTCTGCATTTCAAAATAAAACATCACTGAAGCTGAAGGTTTACGAGCACTAACTGTGGATGAGCTCTGGGATGGTCGGAGGTTTATAGACAGATAATAAGTCGTTGTTTTCTCCACCTGGTGGTTTTGGAGAACCGATGATGGTCGTGGACTTTGTCCAACGTCTTCCCGTCAACCATCCACCACATCGCCCACTGCGATGAGTCGAGGTACGGGAACAGAGCTTTACACAGCAGCTGCACCTCCGTGTCTGAGAGGAGAATATTTACATTTACTTTCATATAATTTACATATTAAATATCTTTATATGGTTTTATGTCTCTCTGGAGCTACCTTACGTCATCACCACAGCTCTGTTAGCTCTCCCTGCTACACTGCTGTCACTCTCTGTAGGCCCCACTCTACAGTCACTGACCTCTGCAGGTCTCTGATGTGGTTTTAGATTAGCCGAGAGGAGCTAACAGGAGCAGTGACACAAACACCGGCTGCAGTAATATCCAGTGGATGCTCGTGTGACGGCGGTTTGATGCCGTGTGTCGGGTTTATGGAACGAGCTCCTGCGGCTGATTCTGTTCGGGTCATTAAGTTTTGGGATGTTGAACGTGGTCCGAACTGCCTGAGCGGCTTTATGTCCTCAGGAGGAGGAGACAGCGAGCATCAGACTGTAACTGAACATCCTCACACACTGCAGTCGATCAATAACGATCAATCACAGGATACCGATCAATCACAGGATAACAATCAATCACAGGATAACGATCGATCACAGGCTAACGATCAATCACAGGATACCGATCAATCACAGGCTAACGATCAATCACAGGCTGCTTTATGTGATTTCATTGGCAGGAAACACTAAATATTTTATATATATTTATATTAGCATGTATTGATGCACGTTATCGAGCTCACTATCTAATTAGTTTGTGTTTATTATGTAACTAGCAAGCTAACTAGCGAGCTAACTAGCGAGCTAACAATTGATGTAGATTAGCTTGTGGTTTTTCACTGTATATATAGATTAAATATAAATATAATATATATTTATATTTCATATATATATTATTTATATATTTAATGTTCTCCTGTCCCTCCATTCTTTGTGTCCTGTATCAATAACATTATTAACTCAGTGATTGTTTCTGATCAATAATCACAGCGATCGGTTCGACTCTACCCCTCCACTGATCAATGTGTCTGCAAATACAACCTGCTCCCGGTGCATCATGGGACATTATAATGCTGATCAATCACATTAATTATTGATTACCCTGTTTGACAGTGAACACTTTCTCTCTGGTCGGGACGAGGATGGTCGGCTCTTTGTGCATCGAGGGCGGATCTGAGGAACACAGCACAGTCACTGATGTAGCATCAGCATTAGCAGTATTAGCATTAGCAGCATTAGCATTAGCAGCATTAGCATTAATATTAGCAGTATTAGCATTAATATTAGCAGCAGAATTAGCATTAGTATTAGCAGTATTAGCATTAATATTAGCAGCAGCATTAGCATTAGCAGCAGCATTAGCAGTATTAGCAGTATTAGCATTAATATTAGCAGCAGCATTAGCATTAGTATTAGCAGTATTAGCATTATTAACAGTATTAGTAGCATTAGCATTATTAACAGTATTAGCAGCATTAGCATTATTAGCAGTATTAGCATTAGTATTAGCAGTATTAGCATTATTAACAGCATTAGCATTAGTATTAGCAGTATTAGCATTATTAACAGCATTAGCAGTATTAGCAGTATTAGCATTATTAACAGTATTAGCATTATTAACAGTATTAGCAGCATTACCAGTATTAGCAGCATTAGCAGTATTAGCATTAGTATTAGCATTATTAGCATTATTAACAGTATTAGCAGCATTAGCATTAGTATTAGCATTATTAGCATTATTAACAGTATTAGCAGCATTAGCAGTATTAGCATTATTAGCATTATTAGCATTATTAGCAGTAGCAGTATTGGACTCACTGACTGCGGTGACGTTGATGCTCCTGCTGTAGCTTAGCATCGTTCCCCCCCTCTGGTAGCGGACTGTACAGATATAAAGTCCCTGATACGTCACCATCATCACGTGGACCTGCAGCCGGACTCCTTTCACCTCCCGGTCGTTGGTCCACGACTCTGGTGGTCTACAGCGGGGCTGTGACATAATGTGATAGATCTGACAGACAGACAGGCAGACAGACAGACAGGACAGACAGAGAGACAGACAGGCAGGGCACACAGACAGACAGACAGAGAGGCAGACAGACAGAGAGACAGGCAGACAGAGAGACAGACAGCCAGACAGAGAGCCAGAGAGAGAGACAGACAGAGAGCCAGAGAGAGACAGACAGGCAGACACACAGACAGACAGACAGACAGAGAGACAGACAGACAGACAGACAGAGAGCCAGAGAGAGAGACAGACAGAGAGCCAGAGAGACAGACAGACAGAGAGACAGACAGACAGACAGAGAGCCAGAGAGAGAGACAGACAGACAGACAGACAGACAGACAGACAGACAGACAGACAGACAGAGAGACAGACAGACAGACAGAGAGCCAGAGAGAGAGACAGACAGACAGACAGACAGACAGACAGACAGAGAGACAGACAGACAGGCAGGCAGACAGAGAGACAGACAGAGAGAGAGACAGACAGACAGACAGACAGACAGACAGACAGGCAGGCAGACAGAGAGAGAGACAGACAGACAGACAGACAGACAGACAGACAGACAGACAGAGAGAGAGACAGGCAGACAGACAGGCAGACAGACAGGTTACAGTGGGTCCTGACCACCAGGTGGAGGTGTGTCTGAGCTCTCATTATATTACCGAGCTGTTGGGGATGATGTGCATCCAGGTGACGGTTGCTCGGCTCTTCAGTAAACCGACGGCGGCGGCGTCCTGCAGGTCCGGACAGTCCACCAGCTTCCCCCCCTGCAGAGGGATGATCACCGGGCTCGCCGCCACGGTGACCGGAGGCTCGCAGTCGTTGCCGCGGACGACCTCGTCGGGCCGCAACACCTTCAGACGCATGGCGATCTTAGTGCAGGACGACCTGTTCCTGTAAGACACCGGAGACGTCAACATGGAGCTGCTGGATAATCTTCATCAATCATTAGCATTGATTACATCTGGAAGCTACTGTTGTTATGGAAACAGCACACAGTGACACGGAGCTCTCTGATTGGCCGTTTGAAGAGGAAATAAAAATCTAGGACATCGTGTGAAGCCGAGTGAACCACAAACCACAGACGCTGTTATCTGCTCTCATTTCCAACAGCGTCACGGAGAACGTGTGACAGCGTTTCTTAGAATATAGAGACAGGAAGCAGGAAGTGACCTCCGACCACACAGGAACATAAAGCTAGATCACATCACGCCCCCTCGCTGCTCTACAGCAACAACAGCTGGTCAAAGCACCAAAAACCTTCAGCAGCGGATTCAGGACAGAGAATGAAGAGAAACAACCCCTGACAGTGGTTCTGGTTCTGATAGTTCCCGTCCAGAAGAGATCAGGATCAGATCCTTCAGATAAAACCAGCTTCGATCCTCCGTCTCCACACTCAATCAGCTAAAGTGTCTCTGATCCTCTACAGAGAGCTCTGATCTGACCCGGCAGCTGGCGCCGGTCCAGACCCGCATGTCAGATCCTGAGAGCAGAGGGGGGGCACTTAAGGTTCTCCTCGGGTCCAGCTTTAATCAGCAGAACACCAGAGGAAGCTCCTCGCTGAGAGCTGGCAGTGAAACTCTTTACTGTCTGCACAGAATATTAATCTAATTATTTCCAGGATATTTTAATCTCTTCCAGGTGTTCTGGCTCTACATTTCCAGGTTTTCCAGGAACCCGTGGGAACTCTTTGACGTGAAGCAGAGTGAATACAGTGTCAGTGTCCGTCCTTACCGCAGCATACAGATGTACTGCCCGGTGTCGTTGGCGGCGGCCGGCAGCAGCCACAGTCGCTCTCGGTCTCTGGCGAGCCGCGAGCTGCAAGACACAAATCACATTACAGCGTAAATCGATTAGAGCGACGCCGATCGCCTCCACAGACGCATCCGTCTGATCGGAGGGCAGAACCAAGAGCCTCCGGACCCCTCGCATCACACCAACACATCTGTACACTCACAGGGTTCCTTTCATTTATATTTACTGTTTATTTAATAGATTAAACTGTTAAATTTATGTTTAATTCTGTTAATACTTTTATAAAATGATGTAAAATTATCAATAAAGTATTAGTTGTGTAATTTTAATGTATTAGTGAGTGAACTGACAGATATGTTGTATAATGATGGAAGTAGAATAAATGTTGTTTATCAGTGTATAAGGTAAACTGTCCAAATACAGTTGTTATCAGTGTAAACAGCAATAATTACTGTAATCTCACAGATAATGACTTTTATTACACTTCTATAACTTTTAACATTCACATTAAAATAATAACAATCCAATAATAACAGCACTCTGCTGGAAATGTAAGTCTGATTATTATATTATTATTTATTTATTATTATTACTTAAACTGTATTTTTTGTATTTTTACGAGTTATTTTGAGTTATTTTACAGTTTCTTTTGGCGTCCAGCTGCTGAATATTGCTGATTTTATCATTTTTATTTAAACTTCAGCATCAATCTGTCAATCAGCTGATAAACTCTGAAACAATCAGAAGATTAATCGATTAATGTTTTCATTCATTTGTCTCAGTAAAATCAATCTCTAATTAATCAATGATGGTTAATCAATATATGAGCTGTCACAGACACACTTTATTGTAGAATCAGTGACTTTATGAATGGAGTCTGGTTGCAGTTGTAAAGAACCTTCCTGCGGTCTACCTGCTGGCGATGGGCTGCTCCAGGTCCTGGCCCTCGGGGACGCGGTACCAGAAGAGGTTCTGTCCGGAGCTCTGGGTGGAGGTGTAGTTGTAGACGGAGGGATGAGAGAAGAGAGGGCAGGAGAGCCAGCCCAGCTCCCCCTCTACGATCGACACCGACCCCTCGATGGACTCGCCCCAGTCGTTACAGGTGAGCCCTGAGGGAGGAGGGTCAAAGGTCAGATCGAACAACGCTCCCTAATCTCACTGCGGCGCTCGGATCCAGAACTCTTTCTAATGAAGTGATAGAGGAGCTGGTTCGGGTCCAAGTTCTGGATTTTATGAGAGTTTAGTGGATGTCGTCGTTAACGGGACCCGTTAAAGGAACAATTACACTTCCAGCTCATTAAAGCTTTAAAATCTCTGAGGGTCCATTAAACCCCACAGACTCCTCTGACAGACGGCCGGAGGACGGACTTCATCTGCTGCTGGTATTGATCCGATCAGATAGAACACAGACTGACTGTGGTTCTGATCTAATGCTGGAAATATCTCAGTGATTTATATTAAGAGAGGAAGAGAGGAAGAAGAGAGGAGGAAGAGAGAAGGAAGAAGAGAGGTCGGGTCTGTTTCACTATGAGCTAAGTTAGTGTAGTGCTCATCAACCAAACTCCATTCAGAAAATGAGCATTTTAAGAGGTGTTTGTTCTCTGAACAGATTAAAGACAGAATATGAACTTGTGAGCAAGAGAGAAGTCAACTACTGTTCCCAGAATGCATTGCGTTAGAGTTAATGATGAAGCTTCTGAATATGAACTCTTTCATAGTGACACCACCGAGGCTCATGGGTAAGGTAG